ATCTCATTCGCGCAATGCGCGTGAAAAAACTAGTGTGTGTGTGTGTGTGTATATATATATATATATATATATATATATATATATATATTAGTACAAATATTCACGTAATGCGGTCAAAGTACTGAATGAGAACAACTAATAATAATAAAGGGGATTTTTATTGATCAAAATGAGTCCTAGTACAATCTAGATGGTTATCCCGATAGCCGACTGACTGCGGGGCAGCTCTGTAAATAACCTATTGATCGTCCAAAAGTCCCGCTCACTGTAGCCGTCGCGGGTACTTATAGCCGCTGGGCCGGAGACAAACCTCCGGCCCCACGTAGCGTTCACGCGTCTTCACCCGGCGAGCCATCTCTGTCAACGTATAACATTGCCACGTGCTTCTATTCGAGATCCTCGACTCTTCGTAAGATAAGGCCCAACGATTGGGTGATAACTTCGGTCGGGAAGTCTATCGGTCGGGTCCGACCGCCTAGCTTTAAGAACGCCCGACCTAAAGAAGCTGCACAAATAATAGGATGGACCAAACTCATATCGGTCGGGATATATCCTACCAAGAGCCCCCCAGCGCGGGGCGTTTTGGACCACTCAGGAGAAAACGGGACGGAATGAAAAGTCCTCGTCACTCGGGCTTCAATCCCGACCGGACAGTTGTCCTTGGTCGTGCCACGTGTCGGTCTGCAGGCATCTTGGGGTCTGCAATTGTCAAATCGCGCAAGTGGATGGTTTTCCCGCCAAAATTTTCCCTATAAATAGGCCTCTTTGACCTTCATTTTAACCTTTACCCCACTGTGAGAATTGATCGGAGCTTCCCGAGCATTCAACCTGCAACCCGGTCGAGCAACCAAGTTCTACTTCCCAACAAGCATTACTTACCGGTAAGTTTACTTCTCTCACCTTTTATTTCCTTTTTTAAGCTTTTGCTTTTGCTCTTTACATAGCGACCGACCCCCTGATAACTCACTAACCCCGACCAAAAGTAACCGACCCCTTCGGCTGAAACGACCATCTCCTTTGTGAAGGGGATATGTCAGATTCAGACAGCCAGAACATCTCGGGAGCAGATTATGATGACGCGGTCGAGAAAATGAGCGAGGAGACCATGATCGAGGAATCGTCGCCCGAGGTGGTTGAGGTTGTGAAACGACCGAGCAAGACTGCCGACCGGAAAAGCTCTTCCAGTTCAGAGAGCTCGTCAACGTTGAGCGACTCGAGCAGCGACAGCGACGACAGCGGTGATACGTCAACAAGTGGCCGTGGAACGGCATCTCCCCACGTTCGGGATATACCCAGGAGAACCATTGGGGATGATCACGGAGCTTCCGCTTCTACACACGATCGGGAAACCACACCAAATCCGGTCGAAGTAGAACCGACCGCGGCAGGCGCCGCGCCAGAGATCATCTTTCTCAACAGTGAGAGTGTCGAGCAGCAGGAATGCCTACTGATGACCCATGAAGCAGCAAAGATCTCCGCAAGACTGAACGGTCGGGTGAAATTCGATACCCGACGGAGTCTAAGGGGGATAAAGGAACGCCACCAAGGGAAGTGGATCGGGATGCATTTCGATTCGCTGCAAGCCTCGATCACTTTCCTCTTCTCCCCCTTATTGACCGCGTTTTTAGGCTATTACCGGGTCTTGCCCGCCCAAATATACCCGAACGCGCACCGCATCCTAGCGTGCTTCCCGCAGATTTGCGCTCGGCACAACGTTACATGCTCGATGGAGCTCTTCAACTTCATCTACCAGGTCAAGCCCTTGGCGGCTAAGTATGGGGGTGGATTCCTAATGGTTCAATCCCGGGCTGAGTTGTGTTCGATTGAGCATCTGCCCGGGAATAACCGAGGATGGAAGAACCGAATCTTTTCGGTCAAGTATGACCCGTGGATTCTCCCGGTCGATCGGACATGGGGGACGCTCTATAGGAAACAAGTGCCACCAGCAAAGACCTGGGCCCTTCCCGAAGCAACCTTCTGGATCTCCAACGAGCTTTATGAGTACAAGATTTTCCAGACGAAAGAGGCTTACGACAACGCCCGATTGCCGCCACCTCGATACGACCGAGAATAGAAGTATAAACCCTGACCAACAGGCGTATCGGTTGCCGTGGCGACGCCTCAGGCCGAGCCGACCGATGAAGGTCTAACGCTAACTTAGCTTTCCCGACCGTAACTGGATTTATTATTTTAACCATGTTGTTTTTGCTTGCAGAAATGGGTCCGCCACGCCACTTTCAAACCACCAGCGCGCCCCGAGCCCCCCGAGCAAAGATAACGCTCGGGAAGAAAAATGCTGATGTCGGGTTAGCCGGCGATAAGGAGGCTAGGGGCAGCTCTATCCCGGACGCTCGTCCACTGGGTGCCTCGACGATGACCACCGCCGAAGGGGCCGTGGTCGCCGATACTTCGACCGACGCACTGGCTCCCCGAGCCATCGGTCACAAGGGAAAGGAGAAGGTGTCTGTGAAAGACACGGAAGAATGGGGCGCAATTAAGCGCCGCCGCAAGCAAAACAGCCCCCCGGGTGGGGTTGTAAAAGGCGATGACTCTCTCCTCACCCGGATCAGCAATCTCCGGCCGATTGAGGAGGAGCTGAGCAATTGGACGCCCGAGCAGGTGGTCGAGAGGAGTGCACGAGATATGTTTTTATCTATGTGCAACTTAGGCTGCTCGACCTAAGGCATTTCCCTTGCAGCTATCCCGAGCGATCCAGAATCTATAGCACCGAGCGCTGTTGGCCAACGAGGCCGAGGCTCTAAAGAAAATCGCCGAGCGGCGAGGGGAAGAGAACGCTGAGCTCCGCGATAGCTTGAAGACGGCCAGGGATGCCCAAGCGATCACTGAAAACGCCGCCCGGGAGGCGCTGAAGGAAGCGGGCGAGCTAAAGTCCCGACTAGGCAACCTTGAAGGCCTAGCGAAATTCCTTTGCCGGGACGAGCCCTCGGCGAAGAAGTTCTTCAAAGAGCTGATTAAGAACAAGCTCGGGGAAGACATTATCTGGACATTCGGGCATTGGGCTTTCAAGTCCGGGCAGTGGACCATGCGGGAGGAGACCCGATCTATTATGGAAGAGGTCTTTGAAGGCGATGACCTGAAGTCCGTGCTGTCCACCTTCCCCGACGAGGTTCCTGACCCCAGCCCGGCCCCTTTCACCGACTCGTCTACCTCTGAGACTGCGGCCGAGCCAAGCGTCGGCAACAAAGATAAAGAGAAAGTCGTGTAGTTTCTGACCAATCTTGTATTTACTTTTTTTTTTCTGTACTTAAACCGCTTGGGAGCCGACCCCGTTTGTACCGGGCAACTTTTCCCTTTTAATGAATGGAATTGTTTGATTTTTTTTCTTTTTTTTCTTTTTTTTTCTTTTTTATTTTGTTCATTATGAACGTTTTTAATTTTTGCGATCAATCGATCTGTAGTCAATCGCCCCACCTCTATCAACCTAATAACCCTCCTTAGCCCCCACTGTCGAACACCTGAGGAACGAATGAGTGCGAGAGTAGTCAAGGTAAGGTGATCGGGCTCTGCTCTCCCGAGTGATGGCGTGACATGACCGTCCGCCGAAGATGAGCGTTTTCCCGGACGTTGGAATTCGCCCGTATGAAATGTAGAGGATGTTAGAATCCATAAGGTTTTTACCCCTATCGGTCGGTCCCGAGGGAGAGGTGAACCTATATCGGTTATAACCGAATTTTTTGATCCCGGTATACTCGGGCAAGTTTTAGCGACATTGCGGTCGTTAGGCTTTCACCCGACTGGATCGTCGATGCCGAAACTCGATCAGATGAACTACGATCCAAATATCTTTGGGATTTAACCAAACTGCTTGCTATTTGCATATTAACAGTCAATTGAGCCGTCGTACGCAGACGAGCTAGCAATCATCGATCGACATTACAAACTTTTATTCCCGTACGCAGACGGACATATTGATACATACTGTACATATATAACAAAAAGATGAGCGTGCCCACTCGCAGGTAGAGCCCCCACCCCATCTGAAATTACAAGACGACATTAATGCCAAAACAAAACCAAATTCTCAGAATTCCATGTGCCGTCGATCACTCGCCCGGTCGTTGTTTCCAATCGGTAAGTGCCCGGGCGGATGACCGCTGTGACTACGTATGGCCCTTCCCAATTCTGAGCTAACTTTCCTCCTTCCAGGGGTTGACTTTCTTCCCGTCGTCGTAGTACGTAATCTCCAACCTGGAAGTATCTCGGGTGAACTCGTACATCTTTAGTGCTTTTCACCCTCTTTTGATATTCGGCCATGCGGCTGGCCGCAATTTCTCTCTTCTCTTCTACACCATCTAGATCCACGGCCATAGAATGTTCATTCTCTTCTGCATTGAACGACCGTTCTCTAGCGGTCGGGATCCAAGCCTCAATCGGCAATCGGGCCTCAACACCATAAACCAAGGCAAAAGGTGTTTCCATCGTCGCCTCTCTCGGGGTCGTGCGATATGTCTAGAGCACGTACGGGAGCTCGTCGGCCCAACTACGACCAGCTGAGTGTAGTTTCTTCTTCAACCCTTCCAAGATTGTTCGGTTGGCGTTCTCCACTTGGCCGTTTCCCTGCGGGTAAGCTACCGATGATCGGATCGAAGTCGTCCCGATCGTCGCCAAGAAATTTTGGAAATACTGGCTCACAAACTGTCGACCGTTATCACTTATCAAGTGAACGGGAACACCAAATCGAGAGATTACATTTCGCCATAAGAACCTGGCGCATTGCTGAGAAGTGATCGTGGCTAGAGGCTCGGCCTCAATCGATTTCGAGAAGTAATCGATTGCCACTATAACAAAGCGCCTCCGACCGGATAACTGCGGAAAAGGCCCCAAGATATCCACCCCCCATCGAGCGAACGGGATGGCGGTCATAACCGGTTGATAAAAGGTTGCCGGACGACCAGGCATCCGGGCGTACAACTGGCATGTTTCACAACTCTTAGCAAGCTTTTCACAATCAAGCTGAATGGACGGCCAGTAGTACCCGATCACCATGATACACCGGGCAAGCGAGTGCATGTGTCCGAGTGCAACTTGTTCATTTCTGAGTGCAACTCGTTCATGACTAAATCAGCTTCAAAGGAGTTTAAACACCGTAACAGAGGACCACCATACGACCGCCGATATAATCGTCCATCTTGCACCTGAAATCTCGGTGCCATCAGTTTCACCTTTCGCGCCCGTTGTGGATCATTCGGCAACCGGTCATGTTGCAAGTATTCCATAAAATCGGAAATCCATGTTTCCTCAGCCGGTTGAATAGGGGGGACCGGTAGGCGGTGAATACTGTGCCTCGGAATCACTAAAATCCGAGCAATTTTGGACATATGCCCGAGTGCGTCTTGTGCTAGCTTCGACAGGATGTCTGCGTCAGCACTATCTAGTCGGGGAACATGACAGACAGTATACGCGCGGAAGAAATTCAGTTTCTCTATCGCTAAGTCGCGATAAGCTTGTAGCCGCTCTCCATTGACCTCGTAATCACCGAGGACCTGCCCGACTACCAACGCTGAGTCGGTCTGTGCCCGGATGTACTCAGCCCCCAGATCCCGAGCGCATTGTAATCCGTTGACGAACGCTTCGTACTCTGCCTCGTTATTAGTCGGGGAAAATTGATAAATTAAAGCATAATACACCTTAAATCCCTCCAGGCTCGTGATCACGACCCCTCCGCCCACTCCCTTCTTGCTACTTGAACCATCAGTAGCCAACGACCACCAAGCGGCCTCAGGATCTTCTTTGACTGGAGGTTGGATTTCCCGAGTGGTGCACTCGACTAAAAAATCGGCCAAGGCCTGGCCTTTAATCGCCAACCGTGATCGATAGTCTATAGCGTACTGTGTCAACATCAATGCCCATTTGACTAAACGTCCGGATGATGAAGCGGTGCGGAGGACCGCGCCGATTGGTTGGTCTGTCAAAACATGTATGGCTCGACCTTGGAAATAGGGAGCCAGCTTCTTTGCCGCTGTAGCATAGACAATCTTTTCCAATCGGGAGTAATGGAGCTCGGGACCATGGAGCGCGTGGCTCACATAGTAAACCGGCCGCTGCACTCCCACCAGATCCGTTCGGCATAGAACTGCACTGACAGCTTGATCGGATACGGGTAAATAGACATCAAGTGCTTCTCCAGGCTCAGGTTTAGACAGCACAATTGGAGACATCAAGTACTCTTTTAGCTCATCAAAAGTCGCTCGACATTCCTCATCCCACACAAACCCATTGACCTTGCGGAGCACCTTGAAGAAAGGTAGGGCGCGCTCGGCTAACTTTGAGAGGAATCTGCTCAAGGCTGCCAGTCTCCCGGTCAATTATTGGACCTCCCTAACGGTTGTGGGTGGTTGCATGTCGACGATTACTTTAACTTTGGCGGGATTTGGCTCAATCCCCCTCTTTGTCATCATATAACCGAGAAACTTCTCGGTCTGCACGGCAAATGTACATTTGGTCAGGTTCAAACGTAGCTGGTACATTCGCATGATCTGGAAGCACTGTCGGAGATCCCGAGTGTGATCCGCTCGGTCCCGACTCTTTACCAGCATATCATCGATATAAGCTTCCGTCGTCCGGCCCAGCAGGTCCTCAAAGAGCATGTTTACCATGCGCTGATACGTTGCTCCTGCGTTGCGTAGACCGAACGGCATAACCCGGTAGCAATATAAACCATTAGGCGTGACGAACGCCATTTTGCTCTCGTCTTCGTGGCTCATCATGATCTGATGATAACCCTTAAAAGCGTCCATGAAACTCATCAACTCGGCCCCGGCCGTTTCATCGACCATCTGATGAATACTCGGCAGGGGATAAGGATCAAACGGGCATGCTTTATTTAGGTTGGTGAAGTCGATGCACATTCTCCAAGATGGAGGTTTGGGGACCAACACTATATTGGCCACCCATTCAGGATAAGTGACCGGGCGAATGTGCCCGATTGCGGTCATCTTCTTCACCTCTTCTCGAACAAACTATCGGCGATCGGAGGATAAATGTCAAGTCTTCTGAACGATCGGTTTGGCGGCAGGGTCTACAGCCAACCGATGGCAGATAACCGTTTGATCAATCCCGGGCATATCTTCGGGTCCCCATGCAAATATATCAACAAATTCCCGAAGGATTGCTAACACTTCCAATCGCAACTCAGGGGTAAGGGCCCGACCGATCTTTACCTTTCTCTCCGGCCGATCTTCCGACAAAGGAACCTCCTCTATCTCTTCAGATGGCTCTGGTTGTTCTTTCCGTTCTTTAACAGCCTCCCGGGCGATTATGTTTACTCGGGACGAACCCGCATCACACCGATTAACTGCTCGAGTATAACACTTTCTGGCCAACTGAACGTCACCGCGCATAACACCAACCCTAGTCGGGGTAGGAAACTTCATGCACAAGTGAGGCATAGATATAATTCCCCTGACCTTCATGATGGTCGGGCGGTCTAGGATCACGTTGTGGACGCAGTGAAAATTCACGACCACAAATTCCATCTCCGTCTTAACTGATTTGGGGGGAGTTCCTAGCTCAACTGGGAGGACGATTTTTCCTTCGGGGCGGATGGTAGCCCCGGTAAATCCAAATAAGGGTACACCGACCGGAATCAGCTCCCGTCGATCGAGTTTCAATTTTTCGAAAACGTCCAAATAAAGTACGTTAGCGCTGCTCCCGGTATCCACCATCACCCTTTGTACGTCGACTCCCATGATGTCGATCGTAACAACAAGAGCTTCCATCCCGGTGTCTCCACTCTCAGGCTGATCTTCAAGAGAAAAGGTGATCGGCTCCATCTTCCGCCTCTTACCACTCCCCTGGGAATCGACTATCGCAACCGAGCATGGCTCTCTAGCTTGGGAAGCATCTTCCAAGCCGCCGAAAATAACATGAATAGTCGGTTTTTGATGATGGTCGGCTGCGTGACGGGGGATCGGGATCTCTTCGGTCCTGGTCCGATCGATCGGGGCGATTGGAGCGCCTATGATATTTCCCCTCGGTTGTTCTTTTATTCTCTTCTTGCTTCCCCACACACGTATCCAACTTTCCCAACTGGAGTAAATCATCAAGCAACTGCTTCAGATGGGTGCACTCCTCCGTGTCATGCCCAGCACATCGATGATAAGCTCAATGTTTGGACTTATCCTTCCCATCCGGTCCCGGATGAGGTAAACGGATGAGGTTGCAGGACTGGGCGTATTGCATGGCTTCAGCAGCCGATCGGTTTAGCGCCGTGAAATCCCCTAGACGAGCTCGGGATCGAGGATGGTCTTCACCCGACCGGTTGTCCGACCGACCAGAGGGTTTCCGGGAAGTGCCGACCTCTTGGGAGCGTTTGACGGCATTTGTCTTTCCAGCGTTGGCATAATCCGTCACTCTACGAAGCGCTTCTTCATAAGTTGCAGGCGGGTGGAGTATAAAATCCTAATATAGGTAACCGGCTCGGAGGGAAATGTGCAACATGTGAATGGCTGTTAGGTCGTCCATAGGCTCAACCTCTCCGACCGCCGCTTTCCACTTGACTAAGAAATCGGTCAAGCTTTCTCCTTCCAACTGCTTAGCCTTCTCCAGATACATGTAAGGCTTCTGAATAACTTTGGAAGTTACAAACTTTCGAGTAAACTTGGTCGCCAAATTGGCGAAATCAGAAATGGAGCCCGGTTGTAATGTCCTGAACCACTCGGCCGCCCGATCGGAAAGCGTCGAGTAAAAAGCCCGGCACATCACGACGTCAGTTACGCCCATCATCAGCATATTGCCATAGTAGGTGTTGATTTGGACCTCCGGGTCTGTTCGGCCGTCATATTCTTTATTCCCCGGGATTCGCAAATCAAGCGGGTAGGGTTGAGCCATGATCTCCGCCGTGAAGGGTGTCCGCAATAATGAAGCGATATGATCGGGAGGAAGCCTTGAGGCATGCTCGTTCTGCCAACGAGTGAATTATGCGCGGAGATCGTTTAACATTCATCGGGTCTCGTCTTGCTCGACCGTACGGGCTGGTTCCCGAGCCCTGTGTCGACGATGTGTTTGAGGCCCACTATGTCCTGACGACCCTGACTGGCTGGCCGCTCGCATGGGAGAATTAACCGAGCGCCTATCCGGATCCTGTGGTCCCAATCTTTGCCTCATTGCTGGTCGGAGTCGCTCAAATGCACTAGCTCGATTGTCTTCGGGTTCGGGCTCGTGCATCATCTGCTCGGGCGCATGTGCCGCCTGGCCATGCATGTCCTGTCGTGGTTCCTCCATGACCTCGGCCCCCTGCGATCCAAACCTCGAGCGAGCCGAGAGCCTAGCCTGGGTACCGGGCTGAAGCTCAGTCTCGGTCGGCATGGTCGGTTGGTTCGGGGGAGCGGAAGCTGGAGCCGTGTACGCAGGCATGTAAGGTGGATAGTTGGCCGGTGGATAATACATTGGTGTACCTGGCCAACAACCATATTGAGGAGGTGGAACTGGATATGTATAACTCGCCGGGAACGGATATTGTTGACCGGGCGTTGGATACATCGGTTGAATATAATTGACCCGGTTTGGAGCTGCCGATCGTGGTGGTGAAAGGTTGAGATTGAGGTCAATTGTCTGACCCTGGTGTTGTGTATAGTTGTGATCGGAGGAGCTAGCTTCCTCGTCCTCCGGTGCTTGATACATGAATGGATACATGGTGATGATCGGGATGCGGTACTCGTCTACAATAGCTTTGCGTACCAAGTCCCCACAGACGGCGCCAAAATGATAGTACAAATATCCACGTAATGCGGTCAAAGTACTGAATGAGAACAAGTAATAATAATAAAGGGGATTTTTATTGATCAAAATGAGTCCTAGTACAATCTAGATGGTTATCCCGAGGGCCGACTGACTGCGGTCGGGCAGCTCTGCAAATAACCTATTGATCATCCAAAAGTCCCCCTCACTGTAGCCGCCGCGGGTACTTATAGTCGCTGGGCCGGACACAAACCTCCGGCCGGCCGGCATGTAACCCACGTAGCGTCCACGCGTCTTCACCCGACGAGCCCTCTTTGTCAACGTATAACATTGCCACGTGCTTCTCTTCGAGATCCTCAACTCTTCGTAAGATAAGGCCCAACGATCGGGTGATAACTCCGGTTGGGAAGTCTATCGGTCGGGTCCGACCGCCTAGCTTTAAGAACGCCCGACCTAAAGAAGCTGCACAAATAACAGGATGGACCAAACTCATGTCGGTCGGTCGGGATATATCCTATCAATATATATATATATATATATATATATATATATATATATATATATATATATATATATATATATATATATATATATATATATATATAGGGTGTATTTTGTTGACAAGTTTAACTCTAAGGAATGTGTATCAAAATGATTGGTATTGTTTGTTTGATAGGTTTTTAGAACATTATATTACTATGGGTTTCAAATACCCCCTTAATTGAAAAACTCATACCCAAATAAAATAAGGGTATCATCCCATTTCATTCCCTTATTCATTTTCATCCCATTTGATTAGTGCTTTTAGATTTTTGTTTTTATTTTTTTGTTCATATAGGTGTTTTGGATGTCTTTATATTAGAATCAATTGTCTTGATTTTATGCATGTTCTTGTATTTTTAAAATCTTTATTCACATTAGAGGATCATACATAATCAAACAGCATTATTAATAATCATTCTCATTCCACCCTACTACCAAACATGCAAAATACTTTCACTAAAACCTATTATCATTACCAAGTATTTGATACCTATTCCGACTCCGACTTCTATGTGCGAACCAAACACACCCATGCTTTTTTGAATTAAAAAAAAAAAAAAAAAAAAAAAAAAAAAAAAAAAAAAAAAAAAAAAAAGGTAGAAAATTCCTTAACCAACAAATGGGCTCAGCAAGGAAACCTAATTGGGCCAAAACTTTTCACGATTACGTGTAAAGCCAAGCCCAACCAAAACAAATCGGTGGGCCGGTGGCAAATTATGGTGTAGACCCGCAAATTATGCTGTGCATGGTGCACACGGTTGCATAAACGACGTCGTTTTGACTAAAAATGCGCATTTTATTTAAAAAAAATAATTCAAGTTTGATTCTCGGCAATAGCATTTTTTTGTGCATAATTTGAAATTTATATCCTCAATGGATGAACTAAATATCCACAATGAATGAACTAAATATCCACAGTGAATGAATAACTAAAAAT